AATTTCCATTGCTAAGCAAGACAATGGATAAGCGAGTTTTGCTCCATTTTATGACCTTCCTTTCCACAGTTAAGTGAATCACTGCAGTTGTTAAGTTAATGACACAGTTAAGTAAATTTGCTTCCCCATTGACTTTACTTGTTAGACATTCACAAACGGTGACCATCACCCTGAGACAATGCAACATTCATACAGTAAATACAGGGCAGTTGCCAAGTGCCTACATTTTGACTGTGTGACCATGGGGATGCTGCAATGGTCATAAATGTGAAAAACTGTTGTGAGTTGCTTTTTTCAGTCCCATTCTAATTTCAAACGGTCATTAAACAAATGACTATAAGCCAGGAACTACTTATATAACTGCCTGCTGTCATGTATAGAAACACCTATAAAATTGAATGCCCTGACTAGTGGGGATAGAATAGGAATATGCATATGCAGCAAAAGGAACTTCTGGGACAATATTTTACAGAGAGTATTACTTTACTGATAATTCCATATCAGGCACAGAAGAAGCAAAGCCGGTTCTGAAGTTTTCGCGCATGAAGCAACGTAAGTAAAATCTCCTGTTCTCCCCTGGGCCACTCACTGTTCATGGTCCATTAATTACACTCAATTTGTTTTGGGAAAGAGTCTGAGTGCCTTGAAACGACCCCATCAGAAATGCAGGCAAAGTTGCCGCAGCAGGAGCATCCTGAGTTGCCTTAGCATGCACGGTTAGTTAAGAATCGCCCTACCCAGAAATGGAGGTGCTGGAGGAGGAGGAGGAGGAGGAGGAGGAGGAGGAGGAGGCGGCAGTAGTGGAAAAGCAAGCAACTCAGGACGCTACCGTGGTTTTGCCTGCTTTTCTTACTGATTTTGTCTGTAGTACCTCTTATGTAGGGCAGGACAGCTGTTCCATAGGTCTGTTCATCTTCTAGGCCTCCATTATATCTCAGTGTGTTTTTGTGGATCAAGCCAGTGATTTTGCTTTTGTGGAATCCGTTGGCTGTCAGTACTTTAGTCAGGGTGCATAGTTCAGTCTTTATGTGTGTCTTGTCTGCCAGGCGTTCGGTTCTGGTGATTAGTGTTTTGGCCACGGAGTTTATCTATGCTGGGCGGTGGTGGGATTGGGTGTTGAGGTAGCGGTTGGTGTGTGTTTTCTTCTGGTATAAGGTTGTTTCTTCTGGTAGATGGCACACTAGGACACACCATATACCAGAAGAAAACACACACCAACCGCTTTCTCAACGCCCAATCCCATCACCACCCAGCACAGATAAACTCCGTTGAAACCTATATCATCTGAAGGATGTTAGCTTAGACAAACTCTGATACCATCCTTCTCTGCAGTTCCTTTTTTTAAAAAAAAAAACTGTAATACAATCTTTAAGGAATATAGATTTTATGATAACTAAAACATATATACCCCGGGAAGAAAATAACCAGAATTGCCAATCCTTTTCTCAGATATAGGAGAGAAGTTAAAACCTTACCTGATTGCATTTCAGGATTTGGGGTGCTTTCCTTCAGATAATAGATAAGGCCATCAGGTTTGAGTTTGAAATACTCAACCATCTGGTGAAAGAATGTTGAAGGAGAAGAGCATAAGAGGAAAGAGAAGGAATGGGATGGGATGGGATGGGATGGGATGGGGAGGAGAGGAGAGGAGAGGAGAGGAGAGGAGAGGAGAGGAGAGGAGAGAAAAAAAGCTTTATTGTTGCTTTCAAATGTACACGAATCAGCATATATTAAAATGAAATGTTGTTGCATCCAGTCTCCAAAGGTAACCATTATGCTTATGCATTATATAACCCACCATACATATATGACACAGAGAAACATGACAGTCTAGTTTGAATGTATACATATGCATGGCGGGGGAAAAAAGAATCCTGCGAATGGCAAAAGGAACAAAGACGTTTCAGAATGTGGAAATCCTGCTAGAAATACTTCAAAACGTCCTCCCAGAGGTGAGCAACAGAAAGAAGGGGATGTGTGGGATCTCTAACCATGCTTTGAGCTGTAAGCACATAGCACTTATAAGCGGTATCTTGAATGACAGGAAGCGAGCTTCCTATAATCTTCTCAGCTGTCCTTACCACTCTCTGTATGGACTTTCTATCTGAGGCACTGCTGCCATCAAACAGGGATGCAGTTTGTTAAAACGTTCTCAATCATGCCTCTCTAAAAAGTGGCCAGGACAGAAGGAGAAAGGTGTGCTCTCCTCACCCAATGCAGGAAATGCAAATGCTGGTTTGTACACTTTACTAAAGACAACCAAGTCAAGGAGACTAGAAAATTAATGAACAACCAAGTTTTTAGTTTAATGGCCTTTTTGACATCCTTATTTTCTTGCATCCCCAGAGAAAGTGGGAGGGAAATTAAACATCTCAAAAAGATACGTGAAAAAGTCAGAAATACATTTTACAGGACTTATTGGAGCAGTGCTGCCCTTCCTGGGTTTCATTTGGCCAATACAGATAATCCTAGACTTATCACCCCCAAATTGCTGTTGCTAAACAAGACAGTTGTTAAGTGAGGTTTATCTTATTTTATGACCTTTCTTGCCACCCTGGTTGAGTGAATCACTGCAGTTCTAACATTAGTAACGTGGTTCTTAAGTGAATATTTTTCCCATTGACTTTGCCTATCAGAAGGTCACAAAAGGTGAATACATGATCACCCTGGGGCATTGTAACAATGAGAAATATGAACCAGTTGCCAAGCATCCGAATTTTGATCATGTGACTGTGGGAATGCTACAATGGTTGTAAGTATGAAAAACAAAGAGATACAAACAAACTTATCAACCAAAGAAGACACTTTGGTTGGTAAGTTTTTTCCACTTACCAACCAGAGAGCCAATACAGCACCGGGCTAGAAAGTGGGAGACTGTGAGTTCTAGTTCTCATGAAAGCCAGCTGAATGACTTTGGACCAGTCACCTTCTCTCAGCCCAATTCACCACATAGGATTATTGTTATGGGGAAAATAGGAGGAGGAAGGTATGTTGGATACAGGGGTGGGATTCCACCGGTATGCAAACCAGTTTGATGATTGTGCGCTTTGTGTGTGCTCCGCATTTAAAAAAGCACAAATACCTTCTACTGGAGTCCCTGTGAATAAAACAGCTGAGGCGCGGCAAACCACTCTGCCACAAGAATCAGCTGTGCTCTAACAAAAGGCAATAAAGCACAGGAAAGAGCAGGGACCGGCAGGCGGGTCCAGTGGTGGTATTCTACCGGTTTGACCTGGTTCTGCCAAGCCGGTAGGTCCAATGAGCAGTGGAGACTGAACTGGTTCTCTCCGACAGTGTGCTGTTTGGCCCACCCACCCACCCGGGCTCGCATACTAACCTTCATGTCCTGCTTTTGAAGTGCAGCTGCTTTGCGCGGCACAACAGATTGCCACGTGTCAGCTGCTGAAGCAACAGGGAGAGTGTAGGATTACAGGAGGTGAGTCAGAAAGCCTCTGCACCTGTGCAAAGTGCACATTTGGCACAAGCGCAAAGCATGCCTACCAAGCCACGCTCACCAAACCGGTGGTAAAAATTTTTTTGAAATGGACCGCTGGGTGGGCCCACTTCTCAACAGTACCAGCTGATCTTTGGAACAAGGGGCTCGCCCAAACCGGTCCGAACCAGTAGAATCCCATCCCTGGTTGGATATGTTCACCAAAGGGTTATTTATAAACAAAAGGTAGGTTATAAATAAGCAAACAAAGCAAAGCACTCATTCTTCACTGCAATCTCACCTGCCACAGCGTATCAAATTGGGTTCCATTTTCTATAGAGTATTTCCCTGATTTTCCTTGTACTATTCGATAGTGATAAATAGTCTTTCCGTATACAAGGGAGAGGGCGTAGCTTCCTTGCTCTTTCTTTTGTCTCAACCTGATGGGAAAAGAAGAGGAAGACTAGAAATAGCTACATTTCCACAAACGAACTGTACGATTCTGATGCAGCAACTTAAAACAGATTGGTAATTCTGTCAGCTTTCTCTTACATGCAAATCTGTCACGTTAATATTTATCTGGGTCTCCTCCCTTCTCTCTTTCTCTCTTTTTTTTTTTTTTGCAAATCTATCAATAGAATGAGTTTCAGAACTTTTGTTTAAAAAAAAGTTTAGATTAAATTGTCCTAGGCTGCATTAACGGAGGGATAAAGATCACATGAAGTGTTAATATCACTCTATAATGCCTTGGTAAGGCCACACTTGGAATACTGCATTCGGTTTTGGTCACTATGAATGTAAAAAAGATTTTGAGACTCTAGAAAGAATGAAGAGAAGCACAACGAAGATGATTAGGGGACTGGAGACTAAAATATATAAGGAACAGTTGCTGGAATTGGGTATGTCTAGTTTAATGAAAAGAAGGGGCGACATGACTGCAATATACCAATGTCTCAGGGGTTGCCACAAAGAAGAGGGAGTCAAGCTATTCTCCAAAACACCTAACAGTAGAACAAGAAGCAATGGGTGGAAACTAATCAAGGAGAGAACCAACCTAGAACTAAGGAGACATTTCCTGACAGTTAATCAGTGGAACAATTTGCCTCCAGAAGCTGTGGATGCTTCAATACCAGAAGTTTTTAAGAAAAGATGGACAACCATTTCTCTGTAATCGTACAAGATTTTCTGCCTGAGCAAGGGGTTGAACTAGAAGATCCCTTCAAGAAGGTCCCTTCCAACTCTATTATTCTGCTATTGTGATAACTTGTGCATTTTTGTGCTGATTTCTTCAAACATAACACAAATTTTTGCAGATTTGCCTCTTATATAGATAGTCCTTGGTTTTGCAACCACAATAGAGCCAAAATTTCTAAATGAGACTCTTGTTAAGTGAATTTTGCCCCATTTTACAATCTTTCTTGCCACACTTTTTAAGTCAATCACTGCATTATTAAGTTAGTAACGTGGATGTTAAATGAATCTGGCTTCCCCATTGATTTTGCTCAGCAGGTAGCAAAAAATGATCACATGACCCCAGAAAATTGTAGCCATCATATATATGTGTCAGTTACCAAGCATCTGGATTTTGATCATGTGACCATGGGGATAATGCAATGGTCATAAATGTGAAAAACAGGCATAAGTCACTTTTTTCAGTGTGTTGTAATTTTGGAAGGTCACTAATTGAGCTATTGTAAGTCAATGTATCTGTACTTCATTTTTTTTTCAATTATTCTAGTATCAAACTAAGTAACATCACCAACGCCAACATCAACAGCACTGATGATGTTCCCTAGTTTAGTAATGAAACGTCTGTTGCAAGAAAACATCCAAATTCTGAGAGTACCAAGGACCGCACATTATATATCCCTGCATAACAAAGTTACTAGTATTGCACCAATCAATTATGTCTGCCACAGACAAAAACATTTTAGATATAAAATTTTAATGTTAGACTGCAGGAGATAAGATTTTAACATCATGGAGGGCAAAAAAAGAATATTTTGTTTATATCACTTTTAAAATATAAGGCTAAATACATTTGCATTGAAATGCAAATTTAATCAATTTCACTCCCTTCCTTAGGAAGCACTGGGAAATTCTCCAGCAAGAGAGATATACAAGCCCACTTAAGATATAGTGATTTCTCAGTTTAATTTTAATTTCCCATGAAATGCCTCTAGGCCTATCATCTGACTTTCTCAAAATGCCTTGGACCTGGATGCTCTCAGGATATTTTGGACTGTTGACAGAATGAGATTTATTGGAATCACTAGAGAAACTATTGAGAAACTGCTGCCAATGCAGTTTTTAGAAAGACATGACCATTTTTAGAAAACTAGTTCCCTGGAGACGTAAATAAATATAGTATAAACAGTAATTTTATATATAAAAAAGAGACACATACTTTCACTACAAATCCTAATAACTGATATTTTGAAAAAGCTAGTGACAAAGCTGGCTTGGATATTGCCTGATGGTATGTTCCAAAATCCTAGAATAACATGGTTAAACAATTGAAATCTTAAATTTGAATGATTTTAATTGCTAAGAAATTATTATGAGGTAAATTATAATTTTAAGGGATTATTTTGGCATTTTACAACTGATTCAAATACCTTGCAGACCAAAGTTTTTAAATGATTGCAATTGTACCAATTTTAACGAATGTTTATACATTAAACACTGTTTGTGTTTTGTGTACATTAAACACAAAATCAATCATTTATAACAAAGAAAAAAGAAATCCCTGGTGAATCTAATCCCCGAGGGAACAGAATAAAATGATCTATTCAAAGAGGCACCCCCTGAATCAGAGTTAACCATGTATTTATTATTCATTAACATCCAATTCACAACATGTAAATATGACTGACTGGTTTAAGCCTTTGGCTGCGGTTTATATCACCTATAATTATTTACAGTGGAATTTGGTCTAACGATTGCAAGATTTGGCTGAGTTTTACTGTCCTGAGATGCTGTGGGGACTCTGCGACAGTTGCACAAGTGTGAGGACCAGTCATAAGCCATTTTCTTCAACACCGTTGTAACTTTGAACGCTCAATAAATAGAATGGTTGTAAGTCAAGGACTGCTTATAAAAGGCTGCTTAGGCAGAATGTAGATGTTCTGACCCAGTTCCCCAAACTCGACAAACCCTCTGACATGAACTCAAAAAATTATTACGAGTGCCAGTAGCCCTGAAAATAAGTTTTTCTCGCAGGCTAACAAGTCTGTCCAGCCGGAAGATGAATAGTTATGTGCCACACCTATTCATCTCTGCCTCCTGCCTTTTATCGCCAAAGCTAGAGGGGGGCCTTTCTAGCACCAGTAGCTCTCCCTTCCCCAGGATTGACCCACGGCTTTCCAACTGTCCAGACAGTTTCGAGTTAATGGGATATGGGATAGTTAGTTAGGATTTGAGAGCTGTCCCCTTAAGGGAATGCCTCATGGTAAATGTAGTTAAGGTATCCTGGGAAATGTAGTCCATGTCATGTGGTCACATCTGTAATCCTGATTGGTCACTAAATTGACCCTTGTTGGGTTGGGGGAGGCTCCCTCACTCTTGCCTGAAGCCATTACCATGCAGCCTCTTCAATCATCATGGGGTTGAGACTTTATTATCTTCCTACACCACAATTCAGATATGCAAAGGATTGGACATTAAGAAGAACCTCATCATAAATGTGAGTTGACAGGATGCCTGATGAACCAATAAAAAAGACTTTGTGTGGATGCTTGGTGGAGTTGATCTATCTGCCTTTGTACAGGACAGGCTGAATAGTTCTCCTCTGCCTTCTGTGTAGCCGTGCATCAGGCACTGGACTCAGCTGTTCCTCCCTTTCTTCATCATCAACCACCTCCAGATCTGGGGGCTGTTGACTCTCCATCTGAGGGCTGATGGGCAGCCCAGGCTCTGCCTCTGCCTCTGCCTCTGTCACTGTCTCTCTCTCTGCCAGCTCCATTCTCTCTTCCCCCTCGGAGTTCCCAAGTTGTCCTGATGCTGACCAGTAGTGGTATTCTACCAATTCGGCCCGTTTCTGGTGAGCCAGTAGCAGCGATGAGCAGTGGAGACCAAACTGGTTCTTTCTTCCGCTCTGATGTTGGGCCCGCCTGCCCACCCTGGCTCCCATACTCACCTTTATCCACCAAATTTGAAGCGCAGCTGCTTTGCGCGGCACAGAATAGGACTGCGTGGCAGCTGCTGAAGCAACCGGGATCGTGCAGGCTTGTAGGAGGCGAGTTAGAATGCCTCTGTGCCTGCGCAAAGTGCGCATTTGGCACACGCATGCACACAAAGTGTGTGCACGTGTGTAAAGCGTGCCCACTAAGCCACGCCCACCGAACCGGTGGCAAAAATATTTGAATCCCACCACCGATGCTGACCCTGACTCCCACACCTCCTCCTCCTCTGATTCAACTGCTGGAGGGGCCGGTGGCCGACAGGCCACAATACTATAATTATGCAAATGTGCGTGTCTTAAATATGGAACTGCAGGTAGTGGGGAGAAAAAACAAATTCTCCAGAACTAAAGGGATCCTTAAATGCTTACAAGAATTTCCCATCAGGCTGTGCTCCTGAGTAGAGCCGCATCTCAGCTTGCTCTCGGGAGATGGGGCCGTGGTACCAAGGCATTTTCTCATGAGCAGTGGTCGCCAGAAGTTTCTCCACTTGAGGTGCTTGGCTTATGATTGCTACTTCAAGATTTTCTCCCTATAAAAAAAAGAAGAGGGGGAGGGAAATTATCTTTCGCATTATTGGGAATTATTAAAACCTGGGAGATAAGTAACAATAGATGGGGAAGTTTGCTATTTCTGCCCTTAAGTATGTTTGGATAAATGGATAAAATTCAACCTAATATTTTCCCCAGCAATCTGAATGGAAAAAGTTGGGGGGTGGGATGGGGGTCAGGCATGACATAGAAGAATATTTCAGTGCAAAACTAATTTACCCCCAACCCTAAACCTGGCAGTTTAATTTCTACAGTTAAATTCAGTGCAAAAGAGGAAAGGATATTCTGGAACTATACATTCCTCCCTAAAAAAATATAAATTCAGTGTTTTGGAATGGTTTGGAATCAAACCATTCTAAAACACCGAATTTATCTCTCCCTCTCCCTCTCCCCCTCCCTCCCTCCCTCCCTCTCTCCCTCTCTCTCTCTTTTGGAACTAAAAATCATATTTATTGTACTTACTAAGCTTTCGTCAACCTCTGCTGACATCATCAAGAATATTAAGCTACCATTACAGAGAGCCATGCATTTATATATCATTAATCAATTTAGCCCTTGCGCAGGTAATAGGCCCTTCCAACTGCCTTCCCACTCATAATTAACTCTGTTGTTTGCGCTTCAGTCATGTTAGTCAAAGGAGGCTCATCTCGTTGTTCCCTCCCTTGCCAGACCCAGCCTGGAATGCTTATCTCTAAGAGGTGATGTTAACCTGCCAGCTATTGCAATTTGTTGCTTTGCTCATGAAGAGCTATTCATGAACACAGCCATATCTTTTTTTTTTTTTACATTCAGAGACCTGAAAAAAGACATAGTGGTTTTAATAGGTAGCAGCAAAGAGGAATTGAGCTTGTATGACTTTCAAAGCAGTTTTTCAAAATCATTCTCAAAATGTGCATAAGTGAATGCAGGTGTATATGTGTGTGTTTGTCTCTCTGTCTCTCCCCTCCCTCTCTCTCCCTCTGTGTGTGCATCAGGGGGCTCTGTGTGTGTGTGTGTACTGTACATAAAATATAGCATTATTGGGAATTTACTTTTGTCGATAGGTGTTGGATTTTGTAAGCCATCTCATATAAAACATATAAAAAGAAATAAATTCTCTAATGGGAAAAATAAAATCAAACTTATGCTCATACCTCTAAGTTCCACGTTTGCCGGACGTATTCGCGGACCATATTCTCCCGGATGTTATCAAAAATCCCCAGCTGGGGTTCCAGGCCATTAGGACGGTTGCAAGGTTTCTTCAAAGGACAGCAAAGTCCGTCTGCATCCTTGGAATAAAATTCGCAGAGCTCTTCGGGGCCACAGTGCGCTTTCCCTCCAGAGATGGCAAAAGTCCCGTTCATCTGACGCTCGATGGGGTAATGGTAGAACTGGAGGTTGTGCACTACAGAGAGGACATAGCCGCCAAGATTGCGAAGGCACTGTCGCAGCAAGAATAGCCCATCCGACATCCCTGCCAGTTTGAGGTGATCCTCGGCATCTGACCGGGAGATGCTGCCAAAGTAGAAAGGCAGATGGGCAGCTGGATTGGGCATCTGGAGAGCGTGGCTGGTTCCACCACAATGTGCTGTTGTATACCTGCCAAGGGACCTCTCTTTAGTTTCCTTTGGACAAAAATAATACAATCTTCAGAAACAAATTCACTTGGAGAAAGATGACAGTAGCAAAATAAGTATGCTCCTATCTATCTTTCTTTGATTATTTACCTTTAAAAAAAAAACCAAAATCATATCTCAGAAAGCAGCTGCCTCTACAAGTTTTTGAAGGTTCAATAATAGATGCACATGGAAGTTTTGAGGGTTAAGAACTCTGGGCGGATGGAGTAAAAAATGTAAGAGTTATTTCTATATTCTCATACTTCCATTTGATGGGTTCCAATGGACAAACAGGAGGAGGAGGAGGAGGAGGAGAAAGATATGGAAGAGAAGGAGAAAAATCAGAGAAGAGGAGGAGGAGGGGGACGTTGTTTATAGTTTTACTATTCAGTGAGAAAATGGTGGACAGACTCAAGCTCCTAAACCACCAAAAGACTTTAAAGAACCTGGTTTAAGATAACCTGCTTGTTGGGACCTGCACATTCTCGCCTCATCACCATCCAGCCCTAAAGCCCAGAGTATTTTTTTTTCTCTTCTTTTCAAAGTCAAAACAGCCATTTGTGACATTCTTAAGCAGGAAATTGTGGCAGGAAACCAGCCAGTGATGGCTGCAAGTAAACAGAGCAGGTAGGTTGTGTCTCGGTGGGTGTCTGGATTTTGCCCCCTAAAGAAAAATATTTCACACATTCTATTCACCGAAAATACATTGAAAATGGGTATTTTGTTGCTGTGAAGGAATCCTTAGGCAAAAGCAAAGATGTAGAGACCCTTTAAAATCTGTAAAGGTTTGTATTATTTGCCTCTTCATTGATCTGAATGGTAAAATGTAAAAAGACCGTCTTATTAAATGAGATTTAAACACCCCAGTGGTAACAGCAGCAAAGGATTGAACTAGAGCAACAACAGCATTTTTCCCTTTTTTACACCTAGTCTCTTATATTTAGACTGCTTTATACGTGGAGGTAGTACACAAAATTATCTGCTACAATGTCCTACCAGTGAATGACTTCAGCTTCAACTGCAACAATACAAGAGCACACAACAGATACAAACTCAATGTAAAATGCTCCAAACTTGATTGCAGAAAGTACGACTTCAGCAACAGAGTGATCAATGCCTGGAATGCACTACCTGACTCCGTTGTTACATCCTCTAACCCCCACTCCTTTAACTTCAAACTATCCACTATTGACCTCACCCCATTCCTAAGAGATATTTCGGAGGTGTGCATAAGTGCATCATCGTGCCTACTGTTCCTGTCCTATCGTCTCCATTTATTCGTACCTATTTCCTGTATTCCTACTCATGTTTATACTTATGCCTATTATTTTATAAGCGATTGACAAATCAGATAAATACATAAATATTTAAATCCCTGTAAAGTAGCAAATGCAACCACTTTGAATAAAAGCCCCATACATAAATAGACTTCTGCTGTGCTGGCACAAGTATCTGTGCAATCCTAAATTTCTTTTTCCAGCAGTGGCAGTAACCCATAATGCTCTTTGGAATTCCATAAATTATTGAAGGAAAAAAATTCCCTCTTTTATTTTAAATGCCAATAGACACCGCAGGTTCTATTCAGTTAACACAGAGAAGAAAAAGAGCTTTGTTCATCTCTCAGATTTTTTTTTTGCAACTTATTATGCTGGGCAAGCAATTTTGTTTCCCCAGCCACTAATAAGATCTTCTTCAATTTACTTGCTTATATTTTACTTACATTCTACCATTATTCCATTATTTCCCAGAAACTCTATCCAATATATTCTATCTTTGATGGCTTAAAGAAACAATATCAGTTGTAACAAAACTGTAGTCAATCAACAACAGATATGGAGGAATAGTTAAAAGCACAGGGAATACTTATCTCTCTTCAAGCAAACATCTATCTGGTTTCATCCACAAACCCTACATCCCATGGTTCAGACATGCCCTGGTAACTACTTTTGTAAGACTTATTCCTTCCTTCCTCCCTTCCTCCCTCCCTCCCTCCTTCCAAAAGGTGATCACACAATCCTGGGATATAGCAAAGATCATAAGTATAGACCAGTTGCCAAGCATCTGAACTTTTGTCACATGGCCATGGGATGCTACAAACATTATAAAAATTGGTCATGTCACTTTTTTCACTGCTGTTGTAATTTTAAATGGTCCCTAAGTGAACTGTTTTAAGTCAAGAACTACCTGTATACTGTTTTTAATATTTCATTTGCACACTGCCAGAATCTCTCTGTGAGAGAGATGGGTAGTTCCTAAACAAGTTAAATAGATAGATGATAGATAGATAGTAAGAGAGAGTGAGAAACATAGATGGGGCACATACAAGCTATTACATATCCAATGTTATGCTTGGAATCGCAATATATTGTAATGGTATGTGAGAATGACCTTGGGAGATAGGAGGAAGAATTGCAGCCTGGACAATATTCTGGGAAATAAAACCTGTGTCCGAAGCATAAAGGGTGGGGAAAGCATCTCAGAGGCTTTCTAATTTGCAGGAAAGTAAATTTAAGGACAGGAGAGGTACTTTCAGACTTGCAAGATTCTGTTAATGCAACCCTACAATAAAAATAAAGTTAATAATCATGATCATACTTTTAGTCTGGACTACCTTGAAGGGCTAACTTATATATATTTACATGCTGGCCTATGTTGGCGTTCAGAAATAAGAAGTCTCCCTGGTACTTTTGGAAATTATTAATCACAAAGGCTCTTACTTGAGAGCTTGCTATGGTTCAAAAGCAGAGCATATGATCTCGGTTTGAAACTATGGATGGTTACTATGTACACAGACAAAACTACACGCCTGATCAATAATCCAACTTGTTATTAGCAATTTTCTGAACTCTTTAATATGAGGATACGTTGGAGTACTATGAAACACATCCAGGGAAGCAAATGGCGTTGATTTTCTTGGATGCACAGAAAGCATTTGATAATCTGAACTGGCAGTTTATGTTAGCACAACTGAAAGATATGGATTTTGGGGAAAGATTTATTAATACAATTAAGGCGATATATTACAAGCAAGTGATGATAAATGGAGATATGTCAAGAGAAGGTTGCTATTTTTTTAAAAAGTACACGAAAAGGGTGTCCCTTGTCACCACTGTTATTTATATTGACATTGGAGGTATTAAATAGAAATATCAGACAAGATATGGAGATAAAAAGTTTGGAAATAAATAAAGAAATACATACATTACAGGCATTTGCAGACGATGTAGTTGTTATTAGCAATTTTCTGAACTCTGAACTAGGTGATTTTGTGAGGCCCTGCCATTAGTTCTCCACAAAAGAATAATTGCTACGCTGGATCAGGCCAGTGATTCATTGTAGGGCCTTTCTGAAGTATTAAGTTACCATTCTCTCTGCTCCTCCTTGAGTCAGCAGAACACTAGACAGACATAAAACATGCTGTCCCTGCTGCCAATCCATTTCTTAACTTTATGGTTTATTTTCAAAATTGTATCCCCAGCTTTATAGCAGGGGTGCAGCTAAGGATAATTGAAGCCTATCATACTCATGAGATAGATCAGAGAAATACAGCCGAGAAAAGGGGTTACTTTTCCTAAGAAAGGTGAAAATAGTTACCTGAAAATTCAACCTTTAGGGGAAAAGGCATATTTTAAAAAATATTTAAAAATTTAGGTGAATTGAATAGAGCAGCTTCTAAAATTTACACTATTTATACAGTATATAAAATAAATTGGAAAGAAATTTGGGAGGAATCAACCAATTTAGGAAATTGTAGGGCGGGGGGCGGGGGAACTGTTCTGAGCTATTCCTACATCTCTTAAGGAGGATTCCTCACTTATAAACGGCATTTACACTCCGACTCAGAAAAGTTACAAAATCACATGCTTCCCAAATGTTTGGAAAAGCGATGCATAAAAAGGAACTTATTTACATCTTTGATGGGAACGCCCTAAAATAAAAATCTTTGGGGATAAGATTCATGAAATAATTAACTGTATTAACGCCAAACTATTTGTAGAAGAAGTAAAATTAAGTTTGTTGTCTATCTGTTCAGGGTTAAGTTTCAGAACTATATGAAGGCATAAGTCAACTACTTTGCTGACAGCAGCCGAAGAGTCAATAGCCCACTGTTAGAAATGAAATTCTTCCTCATCCCTTGACAAACAGTTCAAAAAAACCTCTGGCATTTCATATCTATGAAAAATTAACACATAAAAGGAGACGATTTTAAGAATATGCATACCCCCCCAATTTTTAAGCCTTGTGGCATTTCTCCTAACAGCGCAAAACAAAAATGAAAAAGACCACTAAACCATGAATAAGCCACTGTTTGGAGTAAATGAAAAATGGTCCTTGATCACTGCATGTTCCCTTGTCAAATGTTATCAAACAAAGACCCAGAATTGAGAATGAGAAATGGAACTGAAGTTTAGCAGCCGTTACCCTTTCGCTTCATCTCCAGATAATCTTACTTACCTGATTTCAAAAAACAGGTAGACAAAAGAGGCCTTCCTTCAGTCTTTTTGTTCTTTTCACAGAACCAATAAATAAAAGAACATGCAGTTAGAGATGCTCTCTCTCACACACACAGCAGAACAGCGTTTGGGTAGCCATGTGGGCAGGGCAGAGCTGTTTGCCCTCAAAACGCTAGCTGCACCTGTGACGTCACTGGGAGGCTTCACTTTCAAGTGAAAACCTGATTTCCTCCTTACTAAGGCAGGAAAGTTTGAAAGGAGCACATTTAAATGAATGCAAACGGAATTCATGATGCTCTGAAGAATACAACCGTGACCTAAAAACACACTTGTCATTTCCTTCACCAACAGGGCATCTGTACTTTGCCAGAGCTGCTCAGCAAGCCAAAATTCAACTGGTGGAGCCATTTCTATCCTGCCTGGTCTGAAAAACTACCAGTTTATGTCCCTGACTGCCAGATCACTATGGTGGGCCCAACAGATTTTTAATTTTATTTTATTTTTAATTCAATTTATATGCCTCTCATCTCACTATCCAAAAATGGCATGTATATGGATGTTTTACACCTGTTCCTAACAGTAAGGATTCACTCAAATTCTTTTGCTTCTTAAAAAAAGAACAAATATATAGATATAGAATGATATAGATTTTGAAATTGTTAAAGGGTTGAAATAGAGACTGATCTGGATGCACATAGCATCCTATAAACTATTATATTTCATAAACTACACTGGATGAGTTTGGCAGAACATATTAAGGCAAACAATGATTTATAAATTGTGGTTGCTGAATTCATACAGGACGCTAATCCAAAACTAGACAGGTCTTATTATGGTTAAGTATGTCATACAAACTCAGCTTCAATTATAGACTCTGTTATACTGTACACTAAAGCAGTGGTCGCCAACCAGTGGGCTGGGGACCACCGGTGGTCCGTGAGGAAAATTTTGGTGGTCTTCAGAGAAATGTCCTCTCCAAAGCACCCCCCGCAAAAGCAATTAATCCAGGCTGCGTGGGAACACAAAACCATCTCTCTCTCTCGAGGAGTGCTCATGGGGAGAAGCAACCAGAGTCACTCTCGTCTCTCAAGAGTCCAGCTGAAATTTCCCATGCTGTTTCTGAGAATACTCAAGAGAGAGAGGGGGCGGGGATTTTACAGATAGCTTGGGCAAACTCCTGTTCCTGGGAGTCAAAGCACTGAAGCGCGAGTGGCGTGGGAAACTTCGATCGGGCTCCTCGAGCGAAGGTGGAATGCTGATGCCGCACAAATGCAAGCAGCGCAGTGCTCCTGCACCTTCCAGCCATCTCCATCACTGTTTTGGCCCACCTGTGCCACCGCCCCCTCTTGTCACAACAGCACCTGGGCCGGCGAGGGCTGCACTGCTTTTTGCACATTGCACCACATGCAAATTTGCACATTAAACATGCCAACCCCTACGGCGGAGATTTCCAACCCCACCATGGGCTGGTCCCATATTCCAGAGCTGCAGTAGTCACCAAATTGGCCCTTTGGTCATCCTGGAGCAGCTCTTCCAGCCCATGGCAGTTCAGTGCACCCAGGTGGAGAAGCAGCTTCTCCAGGATGACCAAAGGGCCAGTCCTGTGACAACTGCAGCTCTGGATTATGGGACCGACTTTTCCAACAACGTCAGCAAACCATCCAGGGCGTATTTCCCTCCCCTGCCATTGGTCTTACCTTCCAGTTCCAGCTCATGTGGCTCTACTCAAGGTAAGGTTTGCACTCAGCCAAAAGGTGGAGGCCAGCGGGCAGGCAGGCCATGTGGGTGGCGCAGCCTTGTGTTCCCGTGCAGCCTGGATTAATTGCTTTGGAGGGGTGGCGGGACATTTCTCTGTGGACCACCAAAATTTTCTCGCAGACCACCAGTAGGACTGAAGGCTAAAACATATGAAGAACGGTTGCAGGAATTGGATATGTCTAGTTTTATGAAAAGAAGGACTAGGTGTGACACGATAGTAGAGTTCCAATATCTAAGGATTGCCACAATGAAGGGAGGATCAACCTATTCTCTATAGCACCTGAAGGCAGGACAAGAAGCGATGGATGGAAACTAACCAAGGAGAGAAGCAACCTAGAACTGAGGAGGAATTTCCTGACACAACAATTAATGACTTGCCACCAGAAGTTGTGAATGCGGCAATACTGGAAGTTTTAAAGAAGAGGTTGGACAACCATTGGTCTGAAATGGTATAGGATTTCCTGTTTGAGCAAGAAGTGAACTAGAACAGTGGCCGCCAACCTATTGGGCACCAGGGACCTGTTCTGTGAGTAACGTTTTTCCGCAGACCAATGGAGGGATGGTTTTGGGTGCTGCTTTAATCTCACAGATAGTTTCTGGCATGCCAAGGACCAGTGCTGATCCATGGACCAGGGGTTGTTGCGGAGGACCCCTGGACTAGAAGACCTTCAAAGTCCCTTCCAACTCTTTTATTCCATTAAATGACTGGTGTTTCTGCCTCCAGTTTTAAAACTATCATCTTCTTTTTCCAATCCAGTTTCCCTTACTATATATTTACTATATAGGTTCACAAATAAATAAGGGGAGAGAGTATATGCCATGTCACACTCATTCTCTCTATACAGTAATGCGGCTTCCTGACCAGTAGTGGTATTCAGCCGGTTCACACCACTTCGAGCGAACTGGTAGCAAGGATTTGGCGTGGGTCCCCGAACCGGTAGTAACTTCTGGCTGGCCACGCCCCCAACCCAGTC